AAAAACTGTCTGGCACCTGGTACTAGTTGTCACGCATTATTCCCACTAAATTTGTGAATCTGGCGTTATTTACCTTATCGAGTTTTTCAAAAAAAAACATGTGTTTCCAATCCCCCACCCGATCCGACCAGACAACTTACCTTATCTCGAGTTTACTATGGGGTACCTTTGCGTTTCAACTCCTGTTTTCAGTCTTTAATGCGGTCTCTATTTTGTCTGATTAATATAATGTAACCAAATCGACGATGCCGATTGCTTGGTTACAGTAATAAGACCACCATTTTTACAATTTCGGGCCACAGCCCTTTATCTTAACCAACCCCTTGTCTAACTTCCCCCTTTATAGCACCCCACTGAAGTGAAACCCCTTAAGGGCGATGGGTGCTAAGCTGGAGGAAATCCCGTAGAACCTGTTTCTAAACTCTGCTCAATTAAAAACCTTGCTCAATTAAAAACTTTTGGGGTGACGTTTATTCACTTTCATACCTATCTCCTAAAGTACTAAATGAATGTTAACGATACCTGTTTGACGAAACAGCACCTTCCGGTGGTCTCCTCCAGTGTTCACACTGAACTGGTTACACTTCTAGTAGCTTCTTCCCAGTGGTGTCCTATCTTGATACCCAGAACGTTTTTCCGCTGAACCCCTTCACTGTCCCACTGGTCACGTTTTCTAGTGAAATTTCCCAGTAGTTTTCAAATGTTGCAAGGCTAACTGAAAACCCTTTCAACGCCAGTTCGGGCACCTGCTAAATACTTGTTATTTTGATCGAAACTATCGGTCTTGCTGTAAAACAGTAAAAGTATACTATCAATAATATAAGGGTGCGCTCCATCTAATCTAAAAATCAGAGTCAATGTCCATTTTCTAGTTTTTTTCTGGTTTTTTTTAAATTTAGTTTCCTTTTTCGTTTTTTGTTTCGCTTTTCATCTTTTACTTGTTTCTCTATTGGCCCTCATACTCGGCTAGCTAAGCTTCAATGCCACCGATAAAATTTTTAAAAGTTTGCCTAAAAAACTATCACGGTACGGCCAGAAGTTGGACACGTTCCAGTTAAATTGTACCACCGGTACTCTATATTGGGCATAAAGCACGTAGCTGAGTCAAGTGAGTTCTATCCCGTAGTCACGATGTCGTAAAGCTACCAGGAACGCCATAAAAACACTATGTAACAGTCGTCCGCTCATGTCATATATGAGGTTAAGAGAAATAGGCCCCATAACCATTGGCTCAAGGGTCAGGGGTACTATCGATTGTGTTTTTGTATCTCATTCTGTCGGAGCCAATTAGGTTCGCTTAAGACATGGGACTACAAAATTTTGTTACAGCTTAAAGGCTACTACCAAGATATCCCCACTCTAAAAATAAGAACGCCCCCATGGCTAGGTCTCTAAATACCTAAAACACGCGACCGCTGTTAAAAACAGGGTTGGAAAATCAAGATTGCCATTAGTTTTTTTGGACAGTGGATTTTTGATCCATTTCAGATGGAGCAACCTGAAACGCGCCTTATCTCAACATGACTGTGTAAATTACACTCAACAAATTAAATTAAGTACTCACACAGTGACGTGACTCTAGAATTAAGTAAATAATGTAGGAAGAAAAATTATTAAAACTTGAATTCGAACGTTTCCGGAAGTATGTTCATCGTCAGGTTAGTAAAATTGATATAACGTGATTTACAGACGTTAAAACATCATAAAAGATCATTAAGGGGTTCTAAATATAAAAACAAAATCTTTCCACCAGTCAAATTTTAGCATTTTCACGTAAAAACTTCGTAATTTTTTGTTTTCCTTAAATTTCTGAAAATTTTAATTTTACTTAGCGTTTCCTCATAGTAACTTTTTGATTTTAAAAATTTTTTTGGTTGACATGTTCGATATCTTAAGCCAAAAGTGTTTTTGAACTAAATTCTAAGTTTTAGCTTCCTGTTTCTGAATTCATCCCACGTGTTGATCCCTGGCCTCAGTTTTCTAATATGCAGCGCTTCCAATGTTAGGAATTTCATTGAGTTGTTTGAATGATCTATCATCTCTCAATTCAATTGTGCAGTGGTCTTTCCTTCCCACACTGACATATGTGAATGCCAACAGGCTAGTCCTCTTTCTTATGATCCTCAATTCTTGTGGCCAAATGTCGAACAGTTTTTCCAACATCGGTGGATATGATCCACAATAAGAAAAAGTTTGTAGACCACATTGGATTTCAGTTCACGGGAGAAGGACGACTTAAGGGAGGGAAGAGCGTTTTTCAATTTCCTGGTCGTAAACACAATTCGAGCGTTGGTGATGCTGCGCACCTTGTTTGCAAACAATTTACTTTGATTTCCTCGATATTAAGCATGTCCATTGTTGGCTTCTCGTCTCGCTTGTCATCGGTTGCCCGGATTTTTGTCTTAGTTGGTATTAATTTTGCTCCAAAAATTTTGCTCAGTTTTTCCGACTCAACATTGAATGACCACTCCTCTGAGTATTGGTTTTCCTTCCATTGCTTTCTATTGATCAGCATTGCTTTATGGTAAAGTTCCCATGTAGATGAGCTCCTAAAAATCCTGTGAACCGTACCTTCTATTATATTTCTCTTGTACTTCAATGGTGCGCAACTTCTGAAGTTTGAAAGCGTGCCAGTATCCGTTGGTTTTTGGTACCATCCACATTTAACTTACCTGTTGCCATCTACATTTATATTAATGTCTAGAAAATTCAAGTCACCGTTCTCATTTGGTGTTTCAAGCGTGAACTGTATAAAAGGGTACAATTTGTAGGGTACAATCAAGTCTCCGTTCTCATTTCAAGTCTCCTTGTTTCAAGCGTGAACTGTATGTTAAGGTACAATCTGTACATACCATGTGTCGTTGCACTTAAAATGGATATTACTAACAGCCATGTACAAAAGGCGTTTCCTTGTTCTTCTTGACAAGGCAGGGGGCTCCTTCTGGCTGTAAAAATTCTTAGCGAGTGAAGGGCAATGTAAGTGAAACAATTGCGTACAGGCTTTTCAAATCCAGGGAAATGACACTTTCATCAGAGTTTAACTTAGCATTCTCTATCATAACCCTAGCTGCTTCAAAGTTGGTCTCAATTTTTGCACCCTTGGTTTTATCAAAAGATTTTGCTAGTGTTTCGTTCAATTTCTGATAAGAACTACCGTAGAGAGGGAGGACCGGTCGTAGCGGTGTATTCTTTTTATGTAATTTAGCCAGTCCATAAAGTCGTGGTGGTTGACTACCAGTTGACCTCAACCTCGCATATAAGCCATCTGTGATCTCATCCAATTTGATCATGGCCAGTAGTTCTTTATTCAATTTTTTTTTCAAATTTTTGAACAATTGAATCATTGATGTTATCATGTCTCTCAAACTGTTCTTATTCTAGCAATTGGGTCAGTTTTCCTTCAGATGTGTGTTTTTTCATGGCGCAAAGCCCAACACCCTTATCAAAAGGTACCGCCACTAGTTCGCTGTTTTTCAGATTTTTTCTAGCTTTTTCAATTCCCATATCACGTGGAGTCTGCTGGCGTACTTATTTTTTGTACCACTTAGCATCCGCTTCAATTTCACATATTTTTTTGCCACCCATCCCGACATTTTTATATCCTCTACTACCTTTACCGCTTTTCTGTGTAAATTTCCTAGGTGTCTGTCTTGACTATCAGCTAACCTCTCGTGGCTAGAGCGTTGTCCCTTTCTTGACGCAGAACATAGTTAATGACCGATAGTCATAATCTCTCATCAATTTTTCTCCTAACAATGTCGTTTACCTTGCCCAAGTCTTCCGCTGCCCTACCGCTATCCTCTGTTGACCTAGCCATCTCTGTCCTAAGTAGTTTAATTTGAAGTTGTGAACCGCTTGGTCTGAAAACACCCCTTTCTCATTTGGCCTAAACCGCAAAAAGTTTGGTATTATATTGGGTATTTAGGCATATGCTCAGAAATTTAAGGCGATATTGGTTTTGTTATTTTTATTTAAGTAGCTTGTTTAATTCAATACAGTTTTCTATAACAGTCTTTTTCTGAGAAAGAATCTCAGGAACGTTGGTGGTAAATAAACGATCTTCATTGCAATGCTGCTGCGAGAAACAAAAACTCACAAGGCGCTAAAAGCGGAAATCCCAAAACGCAATTAACATCACTGTGGTGTCGGCTTGTCGTCCTCCTTATGTCTATTCGTAGCTATCCTCTTAGCCTGTGTCATGCGCCGAGTCTGCTGAGGTCTCTTCGTGCTGCTTCTTTTTTTGAATTCAGCTCGGACAACCGCTCCTTGTGCTCCCAAACCAGGCGCAAAGACTTTAGTTCGAGCTCGTATTTTTGGTGGTGCTCGTGTTGTTGCTGGAAAGCAACTCTAGAAGTTTTGAGAATAAGTAGCTTTATTCTCTGAACCATTGCGTCGCTTCACTCGTCGACCTGTCCAATCACGGTTACCTCTTTTCCGGCGATTGCACTCTTGTAGAATTTCGTGATGTTCCCTGTCGGGAACGAAACAGCTCTACTCGATCTGGTTTTTTCAGTCAAATTGCGAATTTCTGAGAGCAATTCTCAGTCAACTTTCCCGCAATTATATCTCGAGTCTTCTACTTTATTGTCATCTTGCTTCAGTTGCTGCGATAAACTTCAGCACGACATGGCCCGTTTGAATTTTTCAAAAATTACCGTTTTACTCAAAAACAAGGTCAGTCAAACTTCAGAATATGACCGTCTGGCACTACACGCACACCTTCAACTTGAAGATTTCTTGTGACCCCTCTGGAGTGAGGTTGTGAGGTTCTGCGAGCATCTGTTGCCAATGAAGCTCGCGTTTGGTTTCTTGGAATGCAAGAACTTGAATTCGTCCTTTGAGGAGCCCCATACATGCCGCATGAGTTTAGTGATTGCATTTTTCGCATAAGATCCAGTTCTCCTCCATTGACTTGTTGCAGGCTGTACATTGGTCCTGTTGCTTTTTGTACAAATCGATGTCTGGGTGTAGACAGCGTCCCAGGCATTTTGTATATGAAACTATTTAATAAGTTTATCACAACGATCAAACGAACTGCCATATTTGTAAACGCCACCTCCGAAAAAGAAGCATGTGTTGTGTCATTTGCAAAGCATACATCCATGTCTCATGTAGCGGGCTACAGAGCAGCAAATTTTATTATGAGAGAACTTTGCAAAAGGGTCCAATTCCACCAACAGACCAACAAGCACAGCCTCCATCACAACTTAAAAAGAAACATTACCGGCAACACCTGAAACAAATGTACTGCCCAACGCAACACAATCTAATCCATCGCCTCCAGCAATCACTGCAGCCCCTTCAAGCCCTGGAAATTTATCGACCAAGAACTTGAAATTAAATTAAACGACCTGTACGTCGTTAACTGGAAACCGCGCTTCGAAGTTCTAAGCAAAAACAAACCCAGTTTCTAATTCATAGAATTACTGAACCAGCAGCCATTGTCATTATTAGAAGAAAAATCAAACTCTAACGTCGCAATGGAAGCAACAAGGATTCTCCCACTTGTACTGCTCCCCAAGACTAAATCAGAAACAAACTGATCAAATTCCGAAACTCTGAGCCGCCGCATAGTTTTATGGAAGCAAGGCCTGCTAGAGGAACTTTTCACTGATGCAAAAGCTCTCCAAATTAGACATCCAAAATTGAAGAAGTGCGAAGTAAACGAGGAAGTTAAGCATTTCGATAAACTTATCAGTACAGGCAAAATATCTGCCGCCATTGGCTGCCTTTCCGACAAGAAAACAAAATGAGTACTTCCCTTAAGCGAAGTCATTGAAGGAAAATCATTCCTTAGTATCCTGAAACAAAAACACCCTCGAAGCCAAAATAGCAAACACTAAATGAAGTAAGTGAAGACACAATGCCATAGCACCCCTCTATATTCGGCCAAATAAACGCCAAGACAGTTTAAAAGTCAACCCTGAAAACGCACGGAAGCCAAGGTCCCTCAGGTCTAGATGCGTACGAACGGAGACGGATATTAACTCACTTCAACCAGACGTCCATTGAGCTTTGCAATACAACTTCTCAGCTATCCTATACAATAGCAAGTAAAGTATTTCCCCATGAAAACCTAACGGCGTACAACTCTTGTTGCCTGATACCTCTGGACAAAAGTCCAGGGGTACGGCCCATTGCTATAGGCGAGGTTCTGAGAATAATTATTGGCAGAACAATCACCCAATGTACAAAATCAGACCTTAAAAATCTCGGAAAAAAACTCCAACTTTGAAGTGGGGAATTGAATGTGTTATCCACAGCTTGAGGAACGAATTTGAGAAAGCGGAAATGGACGCCATACCAGTTATTGATGCAGAAAATGCCTTCAATTTGCTCAAAAGAAAACTTGCTCTAAGAAATGTAGAAATGTTTTTTTTCCGGCGTTACATCATGCGCTGGCCAACTCATATAAACATCCTTCAGATAAATATGTCAATAAAACGGTCTTGACATCTACCGAAGGCACAACGCAAGGTGATCCCCTCGCAATGGATTTGTACGGAATTGGGATAATCCCACTGGTTGAGCTCTGGCAAAAACCAAATGGCAACCAAACTGGAACGCAGATGACGGAAGCGCTCCAAGTGATCTTTGGAATTTCCGCGCAATTCTGGACAACCTGGCCGTGCACGGAAAGGCTTTCGGATACAATGTGAAGCCCTCCAAGTGTCAACTAATAATTAAGGAAAACCGCCAGGAAAGCGCCAAAAAAGAATTCGAAAGCACAAATATTACAATGAGAGACGGTTTTAGAGTCCTTGGATTGGTTATAGGAACACCATTAGCATGCGATAAATACATGTAAAGCGAAGTTGAAAAGATAGCTACCCTAACTGAGAAGCTTTCCAAAATAGCTAAAACATCACCAGAAAATGCATACTCCTACTACACAAAGGGAGTTCAAAATAAATTAAGTTTTCTAACCAGAGCCATTCGAAAGCATTTAGGAAAATGGATGAAATCGAGAAAAATGTAGGACAGCTACTCCCTAATATTACTGGTAAAAATCATATAACCGACAAAAATCGCAGCTTTTTTGCAGTACCACTAAGAATGTGAGGACTAGACCTCCTCAAAAACTCGGACTTTTTCAGAAACTCGGACTTTTTCAGGACTTTTTCAGAAACACGAAAACAGTGATCGAGAAATAGCTAAAATGGAACAAACTCTGATAAATAGAAACATCAAAACAGAGACAGAACATCACACTCTGAAAAAAAGGCTGAAATTATGGAAAATAGCTCATCAGAAGAAAACGGACAGTAAATCTACCGTCACAGAAAGGAGCATCGAATTGGTTAAGCTTGTTACCCCTAACAAAATTCAGTTTTTCACTCAACAAATCAGAGAATAAAGATGGATTACATCTGAGATATGGATGGGAACCACCAAACAATCCACATACATGCCCATGTGGACAACCGTTCACACTGGCCCAGTCTTTACACTGTCCCAAAGGCGTATACCCTAAGCTAAGACGTAATGAAATTCGCGATACCTTTGCGACACACCTGAGGGAAGTGTGCCATGTTGTTGAAACAGAGTTGAAACTTCAATCGTTGAAAGGCGAAAGCTTTCAGAACAAAACAATCACTGCTGAAGATGAAGCTCGACTTTACGTCAAGGCAAATGGACTCTGCGGAGGCCGATTCGGCCGAACCTTTTTCGGTCATAATCGGACACAATAATTTTTATACGAACAAAAATACGTTTTGCACTTCTGAGGAGTGCAATCCTCTGCCTTAGGGGGTGCAAAAATCTTAAAAACACATCCAACATAGACAATTTTATCTGTGCTATGAAAGAGAAGGCTAGATTTTAAATGACAATTCTCTGGATGCCTTGAATTCGACTTGATTTATTCATAAGTTTTTGCTGATGTATTTATACAGCGTTGGTATGGCCCTATCCAACCTGTGCACGTACCGTCGCATGACGGATGGGCCCATTTTAATTGACCTTCTGTCTTAAAACTCTTCCCAACACGGGATGCGAGGGAATTATAGCGTATCTTTTATGTGGAACAATTTATTAAGTTTATCAATCAAAATTTTTGGCAGATTTAGTTTCAAACCCTTCCCACCACGGGGTGCGAAGGAACTATAGCGTAGGGTGGATTTTTTCTTTGCCCTTTTTTAAGTACCCCAAGGAAAGCTCGTAGAGATTTAAGGAACCTCCAGAGTTTTCCAGAAATAATGAGTAATTACGAGCCATTTAATATTCGTTAGAAAACAGTGATCCAGAAATAGCTGAAACGGAACAAACTCTGATAAATAGAAACATCAAAACAGAGACAGAACATTACACTCTCAAAAAAGATCGAAGTTATGGAAAATTTCTCATCAGAAAAAAACGGACAGTTAATCTACCGTCACGGAAAGGAGCATCGAATTGGTTAAGCTTGTTACCCCTAGCAAAATTCAATTTTTCACTCAATAAATCAGAGATTAAAGATGGATTACATCTGAGATATGGATGGGAACCACAAAACACTCCACATACATGGCCATGTGGACAACCGTTCGTACTGGCCCACTCTCTACACTGTCCCAAAGGTGTATACCCTCACCCAAGGCAAAATGAAGTTCGCGATACCTTTGCGACACTCCTGAGGGAATTGTGCCATGTTGTTGAAATAGAGCCGAAATTCAATCGTTGAAAGGCGAAAGCTTTCAGAAAAAAACAACCACTGCTGAAGATGAAGCTCGACTTGACATCAAGGCAAATGGACTCTGCGGAGGCCGATTCAGCCGAACCTTTTTCGGTCATAATCGGACACAATAAATTTTATACGAACAAAAATACGTTTTGCACTTCTGAGGAGTGCAATCCTTTGCCTTAAGGGGTGCAAAAATCTTAAAAACACATCCAACATAGACAATTTTATCTGTGCTATAAAGGAGGAGGGTAGATTTTAAATGACAATTCTCTGGATGCCTTGATTTCGACCTGATTTATTCATAAGTTTTTGCTGATGTATTTATACAGCGTTGGTACGGCCCTATCCAACCTGTGCACGTACCGTCGCATGACGGATGGGCCCATTTTAAATGACCTTCTGTCTTAAAACTCTTCCCAACACGGGATGCGAGGGAATTATAGCGTATGTTTTATGTGGAACAATTTATTAAGTTTATCAATCAAAATTTTTGGCAGTTTTAATTTCAAACCCTTCCCACCACGGGGTGCGAAGGAACTATAGCGTAGGGTGGAGTTTTTCTTTGCCCTTTTTAAGTACCCCAAGGAAAGCTCGTAGAGATTTAAGGAACCTCCAGAGTTTTCCAGAAATTATTAGTAATAACGAGCCATTTAAGATTCGTTAGAAAACAATGATCCAGAAATAGCTGAAACGGAACAAATTCTGATAAATAGAAACATCAAAACAGAGACAGAACATCACACTCTCAAAAAAGATCGAAATTATGGATAATTGCTCATCAGAAAAAAACGGACATTTAACCTACCGTCACAGAAAGGAGCATCGAATTGGTTCAGCTTGTTACCCCTAGCAAAATTCAATTTTTCACTCAATAAATCAGAGATTAAAGATGGATTACATCTAAGATATGGATGGGAACCACAAAACACTCCACATACATGCCCATGTGGACAACCGTTCTTACTGGCCCACTCTCTACACTGTCCCAAAGGTGTATACTCTCACCCAAGGCAAAATGAAGTTCGCGATACCTTTGCGACACTCCTGAGGGAAGTGTGCCATGTTGTTGAAATAGAGCCGAAACTTCAATCATGAAAGGCGAAAGCTTTCAGAACAAAACAACCACTGCTGAAGATGAAGCTCGACTTGACATCAAGGCAAATGGACTCTGCGGAGGCCGATTCAGCCGAACCTTTTTCGGTCATAATCGGACACAATAAATTTTATACGAACAAAAATACGTTTTGCACTTCTGAGGAGTGCAATCCTCTGCCTTAGGGGGTGCAAAAATCTTAAAAACACATCCAACATAGACAATTTTATCTGTGCTATAAAGGAGGAGGGTAGATTTTAAATGACAA